TCAAAAAACTAAAAGCACATGGACAAAAAATACACCATGTAATCACACAGGAACAGTAACCAAAAAAAGGAAAAAGAAGAAGAAAAAACAAGAAAACCTGCAATATCTGGGGATAGGGCACTAAGAGAAAAAAGGCAGAGAAGGAGAATAATGAAGGAAAAATATGGGGAAAATGCAAAAAGAAAAACAAGGAATGGGGTCAACCACGAGAAAAAAGGGGAGGGGGACTTAAATTTTAAAAGAAATAAATAAACAGTTTATTTATTTATTTATTTCAACCAGAAACAGGGAAAAGAAAAAATGCTGAAAACTAGGACTTTGGAGGGGAAGATTAAGAATAATAGTAAAAAGGACAAAAGTATTAATAATAGTAGTTGTTTTATAACAGACAAATATAAACAAACTAATCATCAGAAAAAAGAAAGCAAAAAATGAAAAAATAAAGAGGAAAAAAAAAATCAGTGGAGGACTGGGCAGGACACCCAGGCTCCATTTGAGCACACAGACTGTGGTGGAGTTCCTTTGAACCCAGAAGGTGGGTGAGAGTGGGGATGGCCTCACCTCCGTTCACCAAGCGGGTGTGGGTTATAAGGGTAACAAGAGGAATGTCATGTATTGTCAGACTTGCAGGTCTGGTCTGCCCTTGGGGTTGCTGGCAAGCAGAATGTGTTCTTAAGCACCAGGAATCTGCGAGAGCACTGTCTCTTTAAATATCCAAAATAGTCAAGCGGCTTTTAAACCTTCAAAATGGCGGTGGCCTCTGGACCAGCAAAGGTCCACAGCTCAGCCCGCGTTTCTCTTCACCTTCTCTGTTTATTCCCCAGCCACCAGAGCAGTCCTCCATGCAGTCCCTGGCTAGCAGGGCTGATTTTTAGGTTAATTCTTAGGTCCTGCCACCACTCGGCACTCTCCAAGTTGTCTGTGCCGTGCCATGAGGATCACTCAGGATCGCTGCCAGACCGCAGCTCCATCTGTCTCCTTTTTTGGTATTTTCATGAAAATTTTTCTGCTCATTGGGGTTTAGTTCACTTCTATATCCTTCCCTTCAAGGCTAGGGGTCCAGGGTTATCTTCTGTGTCTGTGTTAATTGGTTTCCCTTTTCTTTGTTGAAGAGGGTCTGTGCAGTCTTTCTGCTTAGTCCGCTATCTTATCGGAATTCATCATGTCCTTAATTCATTCTTTTAAATAGGTTAAATATACCTAATAGCTTTTTTAAGCATTTTTACAGCACAACCTCTTAAAAATTAATGAATAAAAAGTTTTATTTTTTTGTCTGAATTAAGATAACTCTTAAGTTAAGGGGGGGGGGACCTCACTGCAGTCAAGTCAGATTCCAAGGCAGTATCACTATGGAAATATATTGCCCATTCTTCCCCACCAGCCTTCTGGTTAGCACTCAAGTGCCTTAGGCACTATACCACCTGAGCTCCAAGTTAAGGAAAGTTTATTATAATGTTCAGAATTTTTATAGTATTGAAAGCACATAAACCAAAAAAAAAAAAAAATCACTGCCATCAAGTTGATTCCAACTCATAGTGACCCCATTTGGGTTTCTGAGGCAGAAAATCTTTATGGAAGTAGATTGCGCAGTCTGGTGGGTTTGAACCGCCAGCCCTCTGGTTAGCAGTCAAATGCCTTAGGCTAGTGCTCCTTATTGAAAGCACATTTGTTGTTGTTGTTGTTGTTATTTGCCATCAAGTCGGCCCCGACTCATAGCGACCCCTCCTTGGGTTTCCAAGGCAGTATCCCTACGGAAGTAAGAATGCCCAACCTTCCTTCCGAGGAGTGGCTGGTGGGTTTGAACCGCCAGCCTTCTGGTTAGCAGTCAAGTGCCTTAGGCACTATGCTACCAGAGCTCCTTATTGAAAGCACATAGAAGCATTGAAATACCTTCCAAAGTAAAATGTAAATAGTTGTTGGCTTGTCTGTTACTTTAAGTGATTAATTGTTCATTCATTCAGCAAGTATTAATTAAGTGCCTGCTGTGTTCTAGGACAGGTCCTTGGCTGGTACAAATGGTTGGTGATTTGAGCCTATCCAATGGTACCTCAGGAGCTCTGGTGGCGTAGTGCCTAAGGCACTTGACTGCTAACCAGAAGCCTGGTGGTTTAAACCCATCAGCCACTCCTCAGAGGGAAAGTTGGGCAATCTACTTCCGTAGTGATGCTGCCTTAGAAATAGAGAAGAGGCAGGTTGAAACAATCAGGAGGGTAGTGAGAATCAGGAGTTCAGTTTTGCATATGGAAAGTTTGAGATGTCTATTGAAAATCTGAGAAGAGATGTTGAGTAAAGTAGTCTGGGATTTAGGACAGAACCCATGCTTGACATATAAATTTGGGAGTTACCAGCCATTCCTTGGAAGGAAGGTTGGGCAATCTACTTACACAGTGATACTGAAAATAAAACAAAACAAACCCACTGCTGTAGAGTTGTATCCGACTCATAGCGACCCCTCCTTGGGTTTCTGAGTCAGTATCACTACAGAAGTAGATTGTGCAACCTTCCTTCTGAGGAGTGGCTGGTGGGTTTGAACCACCAGCTTTCTGGTTAGCAGTCAAGTGCATTATGCACTTGCTACCAGAGCTCTGTAGTGATATTGCCTCAGAAACCCAAGGAGGGGTCACTATAAGTTGGTCCAACTCAGGGCACATAACAACAACAAACAACAGAGTTGATAAGAAGGAGCTCTGGTGACACGGTACCTAAGATATTTGACTGCTAACTAGAAAGATGCCAGTTCAGACCCACCAGCCACTCCGTGGAAGGAAGATGGGGCAATCTACTTCCATAAAGATTTACCACCTCAGAAAGCCAATGGGGGTCACTTTGAGTCAAAATTGACTCAAAGGCAGTGGGTTTTTGGTTTAGAGTTGATAAAAGAGCTATGAACTGAACCTGGGGTATTCCAAAGTTAAGTGGGCAGGCAGGTGAAAAGGACCAGCAAGGAGACTGAAAAAGAGGGGTGGGCAAAGGAGTAGGAAAGCCTAGAAAAGTGTGTCCTGGAAGTCAAATGAAGAAAGTGGTTCAAGGAGGAGGGAATAACCAACAAGGCCACTTGGTGTTGCTGGTCAAGGGAGGTAAGTTCTGAGGTTGAATTTAACAATGTAGAGGTCACTATTTACCTTGACAAAAGTTATCTTAATGAGGTGGTCAGGGCAGAAGCCAGGGTGGAATGGTTTAAGGGAGAATGGGAGGGGAAAAATTGGAGAAGGATGAGTATAAACTTATTAGAGTCCTTTTGCTGTAAAGGGGAGCAGAGAACTGGGGTGATAGCTAGGAGAATTGCTGGGGTAGTCAGGAGAGATTTGTTTTAAGATGAGAAAAATTACAGCATGTTTGTACAGTGATGGAAGAGGTGAATATTGATTCAGGGCAGAGTTGCTGAAGAAATGTCCTAGAGTGGTCAAAAGATAAGGTCTGGTATACAAATGAAGGAGCTGATCTTGAACCTGGGACAGCTTATCTACAGTAATAGTCAGAAGGCAGAGTATAAGGTATAGTTGCTGGTGAGTGGGTTGATGTGGTGCTATGGGCTTTGGAAAGTTTCTATTTTTGCTTGTGTTTCTTAGTGAAATAGGGAGCTAGATCACCTGCTGAGAGAGAGAATGGTAGAGGAGGTATTGGGAGTTTGAGAGGAAGGGGTATGAGATAGTTGTCCGGAAGCATGAGTCTATGTACTAGGTGATTCCCAGACAATGTGAAGGGCCCACCTGATGTTTCTGATGATGAATTTATGGTTGTATCTGTTCCTGTAGCCAAGTTCAGCTGCCCAGGTGCAGGCAGAGTTGGCAGACAGTTGGATTTAACCAGGATTTGGATTTTTACTAATGTGACCATAGTGAAGGGAAGTAGGAAGAGAGCAATTAATTATGTGATGATTGGCCATAATTTAATCTGCCCAAAGAGGGAAGTAAGGACAGGAAGGAAGTGAAGACCAGTGACAACATGGTAGATCAGTGATTTGTAGGTCCTAGTGGGATGGAAGGAAGGTTGGGCAATCCTACTTCCGTAGTGATACTGCCTTGGAAATCCAAGGAGGGGTCGCTATGAGTCGGGGCCAACTCGACAGCATATAACAACAACAACAACAACAACAGTGGGATGGAAGAATTTTCTACTCAGGGTGCTGGAAGGTTTGAGCTAGGAAGATAGGAGGCTGTGGAATTCAAAGTATGGACACGTTGAAGGCATTGGTAATAACAAGATCTCAAACATGATTGAAACCGAAGGCTGAGGTAGGATGGAGAACCAAATCATTGGATGAGAAGAGTTCAAAGAAATGGGAGATATTTGTGTGATTATTTGAACAAATAACAAACTTTCTTTCCATGTGTCATTACTTGGAACTTAAAGAGAAGTGGGGGACAAAAGTGGGAGGATCAAAGCAGCCCATACAGTACTTGATTACGTTTTCTGAACCATAAAGTCCTGGTGCAAAGTGTATTCAAATATTACAGCCCCATATTGTGAACATTGTGATGGGTGCTTCTTTCATAGCTGGTCATTCTTCTTCTTTGTGTTTCATATTAACACTGATTTTCTTAACACAGTAAGTGGTACTACTTCAGAGATGAACACATTCTTGGATGATCCAGAATTTGCAAGTACTATCTTAAAAGCAGAGCAAGCAATAGAATGTGGAGTTTTTCCAGAAAGAATCTTTCAAGGTTCAAGTGGAAGTTACTTTGTAAAGGATCCTAAGAGGGTGAGAATTTCACAGACCTGCTATATATAACAGAAACTTTGGGAAACAGTAATTTAAATGTGAGGTCATTGTGAGTTACTGAAGATATTTTCCTAATAAATCTGATTTGCAACCTCTTTTCAGGAATAAAGGTCAGTTTTTTTGGGGGGGATGGGGTTACTAAAGCACTTGACTGTTTAGAAATAGATCTGTTTATTTTAAATCACAGTTTGCTGTTTTATTTTATGTTTAGTTTAAAGGATTTATTGTATATTCACAATAAGCTGTAAGTTTGTTACACTTGTGTTCTTAAATCCTCACTTTACAATAGTTTATAACCCATATTAGCCAACCAGATTGGAAATTTAAACTTTTAAAACCTTGTTAATGTTATTTCCAAAGTCCTTGATCTTTTTGGAAGGTAAATGTTGCCCTAGGATATTTTTTCCTGGCTCTGGACCAGAGGGAAGCTGACTGGGTGGTCTGAAGTTGGAGGGCATTGGAATGTGACCAAGTGAAATGAACCAAAGTCTAATTCTAGAGCAGAAAAGAGGTTGATGTGGGACTTTGTTCCACTTAGTCTAGAATTTCTCAGTAATCTACATTATCTTTTTTGGATGCTTTCTGAGTAGTACATAACCAGCAGTCCTGTTTTTCAGAGATCAGAATGATTTTAATCTCAGTTAAATTTTTTTTCGCAAAGATTGAGGTCATATTTTTTTGAGATTGAAATATCTATGTAGGTAATGTCAGTCCCTCAATCGTTTTTCCAAGTTTTATTGATTGCTTAATTTGTTGTTAAGTGAGTTTTTTACTAGTGATTCAGACTTTATCGTATTAGAAAGCAATTATAACACTTACACTTAGAAGGGGAGCTCTGGTAGCATAGTGGCTAAGTCACTTGCCTGCTAATCAGACGGCTGGCGGTTCAAACCCACCAGCCACTCCTCGGAAGGAAGGTTGGGCAATCCTACTTCCGTAGTGATACTGCCTCGGAAACCCAAGGAGGGGTCGCTATGAGTCAGGTTTGACTCGAAGGCACATAACAACAACAACAACAACAACAACACTTAGAAGATTTTTATTTCTAGTCTAAAAATCAGCCATTACCTTTGTACTTTAGTGACCTTTTTGTTTTTGTGGTTGTTGGCTTTATTATAAGTTCGTTTAACAGAGACTCGAGTACTTACCGTGTACTGGGTACCGCACTGCACGCTCAGGGATACCAGCCCTCACAAGGTCTGCGTTTCTTAGGATGTACATTCTAGTAGGAAAAGCAGGCAATGGATCAACATGTAATTTGGATATTTAATAGGTTAGATGAAATAATAACACTATTTGACCTAGAGCAGTAGTTTTATACATTTTAAATTCATTGGAACCCTTTCTTACTTGGAAGTTAGTTCAGTAGTGTAAAACCAGGGGAAATCACAGTTAATCTGGTTGAGATACAGAGTAGGGTTTCAGAACCCTGCCCTTACTTCCTCTAGTGTTCTCAGAGCACAGTAAGAATACCACTGGCCCAAAGAATTATTGACTTTAGATTTTTGAATAAGGATGAATAGAAAAATGTGCTAAAAATTGAACATTTTAATATTTTGGAGTTATGCCCAAATCTGTGGTAGGAAGCAGTAGGAAAAAAATTGATCAGAATGCAAATGTTTTATGGTTTATTACATATATGTTGAAAATCTAATAAGATTTCTACTCCTTTCCCCTATAGAAAATTGTTGGTGTTTTTAAACCCAAATCAGAAGAGCCTTATGGTCAACTGAATCCCAAATGGACCAAATATGTTCATAAGGTCTTCTGCCCATGCTGCTTTGGTAGAGGCTGCCTGCTTCCTAATCAGGGATACCTTTCTGAAGCGGGTGCCTTCCTTGTGGATGAAAAGCTCCATCTAGGCGTTGTGCCTAAAACAAGGGTAAAAGGAGAATTTGTATTCTTGTACTTCGAATTTACTGCCTATGTACCTCTGAACATTTTAATAATTCCTAATGACAGAATGTGAAGTGGACTCCTTTTTTTTGGTAACATCATGAAGGGAGCTCTGGTAGCATAGTGGGTAAGGCACTTGACTGCTAACCAGAAGGCTGGCGGTTCAAACCCACCAGCCACTCCTCGGAAGGAAGATGGGGCAATCTACTTCTGAAGTGATACTGCCTCAGAAACCCAAGGAGGGATCGCTATGAGTTGGGGCCGACTCAATGGCACATAACAACAGTAAAACATCATGAAAGAGCTCTGTTAGAACAGTGCCTGAGGTACTTGACTGCTAACCAGAAGGTTAGTGGTTCAAACCCACTAGCCATTCTGCAGAAGGAAGACGAGGCAATCTACTTCGTAAAGATTTACTGCCTTGGAAACCCAATGAGTGGGAATCAACTTGATGGTACTGAGTTTGCTTTGGTTTAAATGTCATGAGCCACTAGTAGACACAAAAGTATACACAAGAGTATCAAGGGAATATCTCTTGTTCATGTGAGGTCAGAAGATACTAAAGAAAAGACATGAATAGACACTTCACCAAGGAGGATATTCAAGCGGCCAACAAACATATGAAGAAATGCTCACGATCATTAGCTATTAAAGAGATGCAAATCAAAACAACAATGAGATACCATCTTGCTCCAGCACTAGTATCAAAGTTCAACAAGACAGAAAATAACAAATGCTGGCGAGGTTGTGGAGAGATTGGGACTCTCATACACTGCTGGTGGGACTGTAAAATGGTACAACCATTGTGGAAAGCAGTATGGCGATTCCTTCAAAAGTTGGAAATACAAATACCATTTGACCCAGCCATCCCATTACTAGGTATATACCCTAAAGAAGTGAGAGCCATAACAAGAACAGATATATGCATGCTGATGTTCATCGCAGCACTATTTACAATAGCCAAAACTTGGAAACAACCTAGATGTCCAACAACTGAGGAATGGATAACCAAACTTTGGTACATTCACACAATGGAATACTATGCAACGCTAAAGAATAATGTAGAATGTGCAAAACACCGCATAACGTGGATGAACTTGGAGGACATTATGCTGAGCGAAATAAGTCAGTCACAAAAGGACAAATATTGTATTAGTCCATTATTGTAAAAGTTAAGGAAAGGTTTATATATTGGAGGACATTTTCTTTGTTGGTTACCAGGGGTGGGAGGGAAGGGGAGGGAATGCTGTTAGATAGATAGAGATAAATATTGATTTGGGTGAAGAGGAGGGCAATGTACCAAATGTGAGTGACCAATATGGCAGCATTGAGGATGAGAAAGACATAGAGAGTTACATGGGCAGTACAGACAACAAATATGAACCCGTTTGCATATACAGTACTGAGTTGTCAGTGAAAGCAAACATGGGTGTAGGGACGGATAGATGGGTGAACAAGCTAAACAATTAGGTATGTCTAAATGGAGAGTGTATCCAAGATCATATATAGGGTTGGCAGACAATGGGCCTATAAGTTCATGTGAATGATCAGAATTCCCAGGTGTATAGTAGAGCTGACAAGGCGCAAGGTTATGGTCATTACTTGGTCACAGCCAGCTACCCAGAGGGACCGAGTAGTTGATCCTGCGGGCTTGGGACCATAGTCGCAGGGGACATCAAGCTCAATTGGCATAACATACTATACAAAACATTGTTCCACCTACTACTTTGGCGAGTAGCGACTGGGACCTTAAAAGCTAGGAAGCTGCCATCTAGGTGCAACAACGGGTCTCTCCTCGTCAAGAAGAAAGAAGAAAACCAAAATTAATGGAAACAATCAGTCCTAGTGACTGGTACACCATCCGATCTGCAACCTATACAACTATGAGACCAGAAGAACTAGATGGTGCCCAGCTACCACTGCCATCCACTTGGAAGGGATGTAGGAGATCCTGCATAAAGAGGGAGAACAATGTGGTACAAAACTCAAAATCATTTGGAGGCAAAAAAAAAAAAAGAAGGTGGGGACCAGGTTTGCTGGTCCAATGGAGCTTGGTGTAACCACTGAGACTATGGCCCCTAGCTGCCCTTCAGGTCTGGAATTGAACCCACAACTGTGGTTTCCAGCCAAACAAAGTACAGGCATGTGAGTTAAACATTTACCTCAAGTAGACACACGCCCTGAAGAGAACAATCATGGGAGAAGGAAGGGCTGCTTATGCACAGGGAGATAGCTCAGGGTGCAGAAGAGTATGAAGGGATGGACACTGGGAGGAGGTAACTATGGGGAGGAAGTGGGAGGGGAGCTGCTGCATTGTAAATTTTGGTCAATGACATGAGACAAAGTATATGTGAACTGCTGTATGAAAAGTGAATTTACTCTGTAAATCTTCACCCAAATCCTAATTTAAAAAAAAAAAAAGAAGATACTAAAGAAGGGAAAAGGCCTAGTATTTAGAACGGAGAGAGATCAGAGATCTTGAGATTCTATTAAAGGGAGAAGTGACTAATGTGTCCAAAAGAGTATTATTTTCCTTGTGGCCTTTGTAAAATTACTTGAAGCCTTCCTCAAAATGTTCATTCCTAATTCTACATTTTAGGACTGTTATTTCTTCCACTTTTATACCTCTCAAAGAAAAAAAAGTATCAATTAACAAAGGACTTTGCAAAATCTCCTGGCTTTTCTCTTTTTAATTCTGCGGCATTTATTATAGAGTTGAGCTTTGCTGATTTCCAGCATTGAATGAGTCTTACAGTGTATGCAAACAGAAATACTGTCATGCAAATTCTGACCACTTTTCTAAAATGTGTATTTCTAGGTGGTTTCCCTGGTCAGTGAGACATTTAACTACAGTGCAATTGACCGGGCAAAGTCAAGAGGCAAAAAGTATGCTTTAGAGAAAGTGCCAAAAGTAGGTAGAAAATTTCATCGGATAGGACTTCCTCCTAAGGTAAGTTACTCTGAGAGGCTATATATGGGGGACCACTTGTTGATTCAGCATATATTTCCTGAGCTCAGTTTTTTCATCTTCAAGCTTATAATAAACAAGCAATTTCCATGCAGTAATAAAGTTGTTAAGATGGCAATTTCAAGGAGACCTGAGAGTTTAGAAGCAGGAGGACTGACTCCATTTGGAAGAATTCTTCAAAGAAGAGGTTGTGTCTAATGGTTTAGGAACACAGGTCTAGAATCAGACCCAGATTCCAATCTTAGCCTATCCACCGGTTAGCGCTGAGACTTTGGGTGAGTTTCTTATTGTCTAACCTTCAGTTTCTGTATAATTATTAAAAACTGCCTTGTAGAGTGATTGTGAGGATAAAATTAAGAAATGCATGTCAAATGCTTGGTAGAGTGCCTGGCACATAGTAGATGGTCAGTAAATGTTTACTTGTTACATAGGAGATTTTGTTCTTGTTATTACTTCTTTTAAATAAACCTGAGGAATAATTAACAGCTAAGGTAAGGCAGTCGACTTCTGTAAAGATTTACAGCCTTGGAAACTGTGGGGTGGGGCAGTTGCTATGAGTCAAAATCAAGTCAGTAATAGTGGATTTGGGTTTTTTGGGGGGGTCATATAGTGGCTAAGGCATTTGTCAGCTAAGCAGGTCAGCAGTTCAAATTCACCAGTCACTCCCAGGGAGAAAGATAAGACAGTCTGCGTCTATAAAGATTTATACCCATGGAAATGCTATGGAGCAGTCATACACTGTCCTGTAGAGTAGATGGCAGTGGGTTTAAGCAAGGTCAGGGAAAATGAATTGGAAAGACACTGTAGGCAAAGTATGTGCAAATCTAGGGGAAAGCTCTATGCATTCTGTATATCTTAATTTGAAGATCAAAGATTAGTCTTCAGTATGGATTATACCTCAACATAAAACAAAAATCCTAACAACTGGACCAGTGAGCAACAGCATGATAAATAGAGAAAAGACTGAAGTTGTCAGGGATTTCACTTTACTTGGATCGATAGTCAACACCCATGGAAGCAGCAGTCAGGAAATCAGATATCATATTGCCCTGGGAAAATGTGCTGCAGAAGACCTCGTAAAATGTTGAGGAGCAAAGATGTGACTTTGAAGACTAAGGTACATCTAATCCATGATATGTTTAAATGCCTTGTAAGCACGTGAAAGCTGGACAGTGAGTAAAGAGGAAGAGTTAATGCCTTTGAATTGTGGTATTGGTGAAGAATACTGAAAATACCATGGACGACCAGAAGAATGAACAGATCTTTCCTGGAAGACGTGCAGCCGGAATGCTCTTTACAAGTGAGAATGGCCAGACTTCATCTCACCTACTTTGGTCATGTTGTCAGAAGGGACCAGTCCCTGAAGAACGGTATCATGCTTGGTAAAGGGGAGGGTCAGCAAAAAAGGGGAAGACCCTCCACAATATAGATCAACACAGTGGCTGCAGCGATGGGCTCAAGCACAGCAAGGATCGGGAGGATGGCCCAGGACTGGGCAGTGTTTCGTTCTGTTGCACGTGGGATTGCTATGAGTTGGAGCCAACTCAGTAGCACCTAAGAGCAGCAACAACAGTTGACCTGTGATTGTTGTTGGATATTGTTCTTGCTGTGCATTTATATCGAGATAAAAGAATTTGAGTAGAAATTCATGATTAACCCTTTTTTTTTTTTAATTCAAAGTAGGCAGGAAGTTTGAAATTTGTTGCAAGGTCTGTTATTTTTTAGATATGCTGAAATGAGTATGACTAAAGAAAGATATTATTTTCATATTTATGACTGCTGGGAGTAATTATAAGTGCTTTAGAGAAAACCTTTAGGAAGCGTTCAAATGTTATGCCAACAACAAAAAACAGAAAGTATTGGAATAAGAAATAGATTTTCTTTGTGATGATCAGTGTGTATTTATGAAACTTAGAGGTTAGCGATTACATGTGTTTTAACTTTGCATTTCCTGCTTTATAATAATTAAGGTTTTTTAATGTTAACAAGTAGTAATTTTAGTAACAGAAATGCCTTTTTAAAAGACTGCTCTGTGTTGTTGTGTGCCGTCAAATCAATTCTAACTCAGTGACCATGTAGGACAGAGTAGACTGCCCTGTAGGGTTTCCTAGGCTGTAATCTTTATGGGAGCAGATTGCCAGATTTTTTCTCCTGGGGGGAGGCTGGTAGGCTTTGAACCACCGACCTTTCGGTTAGCAGCTGAGCACTTAACCATTGTGCCACCAGGACTGTTAAAAGACCACTAAAGAAGTTATGATCGATTGAGTCTTTAAAATTTATGACAATATTGTTAATCTCCATGGTTGAAGAATTTTTATTTATCTATTTTATGTTGTAAAAAGAAATCCTGAAATATTTCTTAAATAAGACATAATTGGACTGTTATTAAATAACCAGATTTAACTGATTTTAGCGAATAATTTTGGAAAACAGCTTTCTTGTTAAGAGTGTCACATTGAGGACACACATTTAGTTTCTTTTTTAATTATCCTAAAATAGCTATACTCTTTGAAAATCTAGGGTAAAGCATTTTTTATTTGCTATGTGTTCTTTGTGTGATTTAATTTAAAATTATAAGAATAATTTCCTTGATAAATGTGGCTTATCTAAATGTTAACTCTTCTACTTTCCTTCTGATTGTGTTTATGTGATATTACATATTTATATGTAGTACTGCTAAGAGATTAAAAAGTTAATCCCTTTGTTCTTGTGCTTTCTTTTCTAACTGTAGTTTTTAAAATTATAGATTGGTTCCTTTCAGTTATTTGTTGAAGGTTACAAGGAGGCTGAATATTGGCTTAGGAAATTTGAAGCTGATCCTTTGCCTGAGAACACTAGAAAACAGTTTCAGTCACAGTTTGAAAGATTAGTTGTTTTGGATTACATCATCAGAAATACAGGTATTGAAGTTCTCTCATTTGATCCCTCAAACCTCATTAGTTTTCAAACTATATTCAACTCTTGTTATCCAAATCAACGACATTACTTTGATGCAGAAGTCTTGAGGCACTTCCTCTGTCCTTAGACACAGATGTAGTATCCACCCTGCTGGGCACATTAATCCTGTGCTGGTAATTGAGTCAGCAGGTCCTGTCCAGGTGAGAGAATTTCCTCGCAGCAAGACAAAGCCTATTATTGGAAATAGCCCTGGTGGTGCAGTGGCCGAGTGCTCCGTGGCGAACCGAAAGGTCTGCAGTTCAAACCCACCAGCCACTGCACGTAAGAAAGATGGGGCAGTCTGCTTCTGTAAACATTTACAGCCTGGGAATCCCCATGAGGCAGTTCTGCTCTATCGTATAGGATGGCTATGAGTCAGAATTGACTTGACGACACTCATCTACAACAAATACCTGGAGAAGATGAATGATAAAACTTGATGTGTAAAGTATTTTGGGTGCTTATTTCTTCATTATGATAACTGTTAGTATACTCTGTAAATACATTATATGCTTACTTTTTCCTGCTGCTGAAAGGGAGCAGTGATGTAGCTATCTAGAACAGTGCTTCCAAAATGTGGTTCTCTGTGCTGGAAGAGTCAGCATTACTGGGAACTTGTTAAATGTACAACCTCTTGGCCTCCACCCCGATCTACTGAGGCAGAAACTTTGTATGTGGGGCCCAACAATCTGTGTTTTAACAAGCTCTCCAGGTAATTGCGATACACTCTAAAGTTTAAGAACTTCTGGTTCAAAAAAATATGTTCTTATTTATATTCATGTCTGAAAAAGCATTATGTAATTATTTTTCAGATTTACCTTCTTAAATTCTTAAATTTACTGAGGCTTGGAGGCTGCTTTTCGCTTGGGTGTGGCTCTGTAATAAGGCCAGGGCCTGAGGTAGGCGGGCCCAGGGTTTAGAGGCTGCTTTTTGCTTGGGTGTGGCTCTGTATCAAGGCTGGGGCCTGAGGTAGGTGGGTTGGTGGCTTGGAGGGTGCTTTTAGCTTGGGAGAGGCTCTTTATTAAGGCCAGGGCCTGAGGTAGGTGGGCTGGGCTCAGAGGCTGCTTTTCACTTGTGGGCAGCTGTATTTCAAGGCCATTGCCTGAGGTAGGCAAGTGCAGAGGGGTTAGGAACAACTAAGGGAAACAAACTTGTCTCAGTTTGTTGTCCTATGGTGGCTTACCTGTTGCTATGAGGCTGGAGGCTATGCCACCATGTTGCAAAATGCAAGGAGGGTTACCCATAGTGGGCAGGTTTCAGAGAAGCTTCGGGGCTAAGACAGACTTGGAAGAAGGAAGAGGCCATCCACTTCTCAAACAATTGGCCAGTTAAACCCTTATGAATAACAGTTAAACACTGTCTGATATATTACTGGAAAACTTTGTGACTAGCCCTGAAACATTGTCCGATACAGTGCTGGAAGATGAGCCTATCAGGTTGGAAGGTACTCAAAATTTGACTGGAGAGAAGCTGATTCCTCAGAGTAGAGATGACTTTAACCATAAGGATAGAGTAAAGCTTTCAGGACCTCCATTGGCTGATGTGGCACAACTCAAATTGAGTAGAAACAGGTGCAGTCATCCATAAAAATTAGAACATGGGATGTACGAAGTATGAATCTAGGAAAATTGGAAGTTGTCAGAAATGCAATGGCATGCATAAAGATCAATATCTTAGGCATTAGCTGAAATGGATGGGTTTTGGCCATTTTGAATCAGACAAGCATATGATCTACTATGCCGGGAATGACAAATTGAAAAGAAATGGTGTGGCATTCATTGTCACAAAGAATGTTTCAAGATCTGTCCTAAAGTACAACACTGTCAGTGATGGGATAATATCCATACACCTACAAGGAAGACCAGTTAATACTACTGTTATTCAAATTTATGCATCAACCACCAATGCCAAAGATGAGGAAATTGAAGACTTCTACCAACTTCTGCAGTCTGAAATTGACCAAACATGCAATAAAGATGTGTTGATTACTACTGGTGACTGGAATGCAAAAGTTGGAAACAAAGAAGAGTTACTGGTAGTTCTCCAGAAAATATGGCCAAGGAGATAGAAATAATCCTGGAGATGCATGATAGAATTTTGCAAGACCAATGACCTATTCATTGCAAATATCTTTTTAACAACAAAAGTGATGACTATACACATGGACTTCACCAGATGGAATACACAGGAATCAGACTGACTACATTTGTGGCAAGAGGCAATGGAGAAGTTCAATATCTTCAGCCAAAACTAGGCCAGGAGCTGATTGTGGAACAGACTATCAACTGCTCACATGCACATTCAAGTTAAAGTTGAAAGCAAAACAAGTCTTTGAGAGCCAAAATATGACCTTGATAATATCCCTCCTGAATTTAGAGACCATTTAAAGCATATATTTGATGCATTGAACACCAATGACTGAAAACTAGAGGAATTGTGGGATGACATCAAGAACATTATCCATGAAGAAAGCAAGAGGTCATTAAAAAGATGAGAAAGGAGGAAAAAAACAAAATGGATGTCAGAAGAGACTCTGAAACTTGCCCTTGAGTGGAGAGTAGCTAAAGCAAATGGAAGAAATGACAAGATAAAAAAGCTGAACAGAAGATTTCAAAGAGCAGCTCGAGCAGACAAAGCCAATTACTATAATGAAACGTGCAAAGACCCGAAGTTAGAAAACCAAAAGGGAAGAACACACTTGGCATTTCTCAAGCTAAAAGAGCTGAGGAAAAAATTTAAGCCTTGAGTTGCAATATTGAATGATTCAGTGGGCAAAATATTGAATGATGCAGGAAGCATCAAAAGAAGATAGAAGGAATACACAGAGCCACAGTACCAAAAACAACTGGTAGATCTTCATCCATTTCAGGAGGTGGCATATGATCAAGAACCAATGATACTGAGGGAAGAAATTGAAGCTGCACTGAAGGAATTGGTGAAGAACAAGGCTCCAGGAATTGATAAAATACCCATTGAGATGTTTCAACAAATGGATGCCCCATTGGAGACACTCACTCAGTTATGCCGAAAGATTTGGAAGACAGCTAGCTACCTGGCCAACTGACTGGAAGAGATCCATATTTGTACCCATTACAAAGAAACATGATCCCACAGAATGTGGAAACTATTGAACAATATTAATATCACATGCAAGTAAAATCTTACTGAAGATAATTTGAAAGTGGTTGCAGCAGTATATTGACAGAGAACTTCCAGAAATGCAAGCTGGATTCAGAAGAGGACGTGGAACGAGGGATATAGCTAATGTGAGATGGATCTGGGCTCAAAGCAAAAAGTATCAGAAAGATGTTTACTTGTGTTTTATTGACTATGCAAAAGCATTTGATTGTGTGGATCATAACAAATTATGGATAACATTGAGAAGAATGGGAACTCCAGAACACTTAATTGTACTCATGAGGAACCTGTTCATAGATCAGGAGGCTGTCATTCGAACAGAACAAGGGGATACTGCATGGTTCAGAATCAAGAAGGGAGTGCATCAAGGTTGTATCCTTTCACCATACTTATTCAACTTGTGTGCTGTGCAAATAAATCCAAGAAGCTTGATTATATGAAGATGAACATGGCATCAGGATTGGAGGAAGACTCATTAACAACCTGGGATATGCAGCTGACACAACTTTGCTTGCTGAAAGTAAGGATGACTTGAAGCACTTATTGATAAAGACTACAGTCTGCAGTATGGATTGTACCTCAATATAAAGAAAAAAAAAAAATCCTCACAACTGGTTCAGTAAACAGCTTCATGGTAGATGGAGAAAAGATTGAAGTTGTCAAGGATTTCATATTACTTGGTTCCGCAGTCAACACCAAAGGAAGCAGCAATCAAGACATCAGATGAAGTATTGCACTGGGCAGATCTGCTGCAAAAGACCTCTTTAAAGTGCTGATGAGTAAAGGTGTCTCTTTGAAGACTAATGTGCGCCCAACCTAAGCCATGGATTTTTTGATCACCTCATATGCATGTGAGAGCTGGACAGTGAATAAGGAAGACCCAACAAGAGTTGATGCTTTTGAGTTGTGGTGTTGGTGAAGAATGCTGAAAGTACCATGGACTGCCAGAAGAACAAACAAATCTGCCCTGAATAAGTGCAGCTGGAATGCTCCTTGGAAGTGAGAATGGCCAGACTTCATCTCACCTACTTTGGTCGTGTTGTCAGAAGGGACCATTCCCTGAAGGAGGATATCATGCTTGGTAAAGTGGAGGGTCAAGGAAGAAGTGGAAGGCCCTCAATGAGATGAAGAGACCCAGTGGCTGCCATGATGGGCTCAGGTATAGCAAGGATCATGAGGCTGGCACAGGACCAGGCAGTGTTTCGTTCTGCTGTGCGTAGGGTCGCTATGAGTCGGACATGACTTGATAGCACCTAACAACAACAGGAACTAACTTCTTAATTAATATGGCCTTAGATTAATATTGAAATTAATGTACAGTTCTGTAGTACTTCTATACTGACTTTAGGTGAAATTTGCCTGACAAATAGGGATAGATACTTTTTCTTCTTAGGTGAGGAGATGTTATCCTTGATTGTAATCACCTGGATTAATAACTCTTGACAATAATTGTACCTCCCTCGCAGGATAGGTGGTTATGAAGATTAAAAGAATGAATACATATAAGCACTTACAACATTTGAAAGAGTAAATGTCATCAATTTTTGTATGTATGAAATTAGAACCTTTAATATAAATTTACACCACAGATAACCAATCTCAATTAATCCCATTTAATCTGAAGGTCTCAGTAATCAAGAGTTAACTATATTTTTCCCCTTGATATTAATCATATCCATAACAATGAAGTAACAGATTTTATTTGTTTGTTTGTTTTACAAGACAGAGGAAATGATAATTGGTTAATCAAATATGAAAAGCAGAATCGTAAAAAAGCCATTGACAGTAAGGTAAGGAAAATAAAAAAGTTTTTTGTATTGTATGTATATATAATGTGCACACACACACATACATAAACAAATACACAATCAATTTCTATAACATCTCCCTTAAAAAAGGCTTTAAAATTATGACCATTCACCATTTTCTCCTTCCTTCCCTTAGGCCCTTGGTTTTTCTCATCTGTTTTCTTTCCTTCCCTTGTTTACATTCCGTCTTTTTCTATTTATTATTATCTCTGTCAAGTTTTAGTTTTAATTTGTGTTAGTATAAAAGAATGATGCCAGCTCAGTGCTTTGTGAGGGCTTGGGAAATGTGTTGTAGACCCATCACATTGATTTTGCTTGTATGTAATAATGGCTCCTGTATTTTTGGTCAACATGTTTATATTTCCCTGATTCACTTCTCTTTGATTTTAGGAATTTGGCGTTACCCAACACTGTATAAAATGAAAAGTACACGCTTTACCTGTGGTTACAGCCATTAAACTTAAAAAGAAAAATGTTCTTCTACTTATGAGAAGCTGGTTTTTACTTATATAATTTAACTGCAAAGACCTTTTACACTATCAGATTTAAAGATTTTAGATTCATTGCTGTCGACTCTGAGTACTCAAGTTCACATTTTAGTTACTTACGTAAGAGGTATTTTCAGAATAGTTTTATAAGTTTCAATAGGCTATATACAACTGAGGAGCCTAAGGCACTTGACTGCTAACTAGAAGGCTGGCGGTTCAAACCCACCAGCCATTCCTCAGAAGGAAGATGGGCAATCTACTTCCATAGTGATACTGCCTCGGAAACCCAAGGAGGGGTCTCTATGAGTTGGGTCCGACTCGACGGCACAAAACAACAACATATACAACTGAGAAAACTTTAACCAATTTTTTAAAAATTATTTATAATATTTATAATATATATATATGTTCTCAGGTTATCACTTAAGGCTGTAGCATCACTTGACAGAGTTTATACTGTTAAGTATTTATCAAGGGATTTAAAAATACACATTTTAAAATAGTACTTAGCAATAAAAAAGAACAGATTTGAAACAGTCAGTAACCTGGGTGCATCTCAGAATCAAGCTAAATGAAGGAAGCGACGCGTGAAAGGAACAGACCGTAGAATTCCACTTATGTCAAAATCCGGAAAGTGCAAGCCAGTCTCTAGAGGCAGAAACTAGATGAGAGGCAGCCTGGGGATGGGGTAAAAGGAGGGCTGGACTGCAGGGGGAGGCAAGAAGGCTTTCGGGTAGAGCTTTCACAGGTAATTACATCTGTCAGGGTTCATCTAATGTTCACCTGAATATATGTGAAATTTATTGTATGTAAGTTGTAACTTAATAAATTATAGATAGAAAAAAGTAATAAAAATAAATTGCAATTATAGAAGAATAGGTTAAAATACACACACAAATACATGCCTCTAGATAGTGGCTCCTAAATGTATTTTATTGATCTATCTTGAACAATTAGATTTAACTGAGAACTTCATTTTCTTTTCTTTTCTTTCTTTTTTTTTTTTTTTTTGCTGTTGGTGTTTTTATATCTCTCACTGAGGGTGAGATTTTTTAATACTTGGCATGCATCTCATGGGCCTTCACTATAGTCTGTTTAATTTAAAAGCTCCCTCTTTAACCTTTGTTATTTTATGTAGACCACTTAATGATGGCCACCATCTGTCTTTAAATACTGTGATGGAAATAGGAGAACTCTCTGTTGCCGAGGTCTTTGTTTCTGCTACAGAAGAAGTAGCAAGAATGGCCTATGCTCTGTTGCTAGCAGTATCTTGAGGTTCCTTCTGCTGGACTTTCGTCACATTTAGTATGGTCTTTGGGGAATTTTCTTTATAAACTTTTTACATTTAATTATTTATATGGAACCCTAAGAAGGGCTATATTTTAATAATTTTGAAAGTAGTTATCTTACATACACTAGTATTTTTGAAATATCATACATTTAAACAATGACTCTAGCAACAAATCACTCTTAAGTCTTAATAATATTTCTCCAAGTTCTGTTCCCCAGAGGAAAAAAAGTAAATGTATAATATATAATAAACTTTTAAAACTGATTATGAAATTCTTACTGGTTTTTAAGATAGTCTTTTCCCTTCCAGGGTGAATTTATACCCTTTAGGACAACTTATTTTTCACTTTTATAGGCTCAGAGTGAATATGCCAATAATTATTTTAAATACTTTATCCTTTGGAAATGTATTCATACATGTTTTTTAACCAACCATTTTTTTCTCTCCTTTAGGAAACAAAACAGACTGCTGATAAAGAATGTCTTATTAAAATAGCTGCAATTGATAATGGTCTCGCATTTCCTTTTAAACATCCTGATGAGTGGAGAGCATGTGAGTATTTTAGAAAGCACTTGACTGCTAACCAGAAGGCTGGCGGTTCAAACCCACCAGCCACTCATCGAAGGAAGATTGGGCAATCGACTTCTGTAGTGATACTGCCTCAGAAACCCAAGGGGAGGGGTCACTATGAGTTGGATCCGACTTGACGGCAGTGAGTTTGGTTTTTTTAGGTTTAAAGATTTTATAATGACCTCTTTTCCAGAATGGAAAGGGAGCAAAATGTATGGATATCAAAAAAGCAGAGGAAGAAGTGGGTAAATGAAGTGTGATCATTTGGGTGGTATCACAGGTGCTAGGGACGCAAAGATGTGCATTACATGGGCTTAGTGCACTTCCTCTGCTTCTCTGTGGGTGACTGTTTTGATTTTCAGGCTTATGCTAGTTTTGTACAATGGAATTAGTAGCTTTCCAATTTAAAAATATGTATATAATATTCAAATTATCTGATTTTAGTATTTTGGTAGAACTCTATTTTAATGTTTGGGTAGAATCTAATTGTAAAGCAGTTCAGGCCTTGACCCACTTTTCCCTTCCCACCACCTCACTTCCCTTAGTGAGAAGTGCTTTAGCTGCCTTATCTGTCTGTTCTGTGGTGACTGGTCAAGATCTCTTACATGGTAGGAGAGCCAGTTTTAGAAATTATTTCCCTTAAAAATGTCTGTGGCATCATGAGTTTTAGATATATGAATATAAAGGTTTATATAGCAGAATTTTCTTAAAATTAAAAAGAAAAATCACCTCTATGTATACTGAGGTATTTAGGAGTGAAATGAAATGATGTCCAGAATTTACCTTAAAATACTAAAAAAAAATACCAAACCAAACTGACTGCCGTCGAGTTGATCCCAACTCATAGCGACCCTTCCTTGGGTTTCCAAGGCAGAATTTCTATGGAAGTAGATTGCCCAGTCTTCGTTCTGAGGATTGTCTTATGGGTTTGAACCGCTAGCCTTGTGGCTAGCAGTTAAATGCTTTAGGCACCACCCCACCAGACCTCCCTTAAAAAAAAATACTAAAGGGGAAGAAAGAAGAGAGAGATGAAGAAAAGTTTGCAAAATTTGATAATCACTGAATTAGGTTATTGGGAATATGGCAGTTTATTGTACTAGTTTTTCAATTTTTGTATGTTTAACATATTTGTAATAAATTTCTAAAATAATTTATATGCTCCTTTTTAATTTCTCCTGTTTCTTAGTAGGCTTTTTTCATTGTTAGATTTCCCAAAGCTTTTTCTATTGTTAAGCTTTGGCCTTTCTGTTTTTATTTATTTTCTTGCTTTTTCCGAGAATTGGCTTTTGATTTTATTGATCAAGTTTTCTGTTTTTGTCATTTGCTTTTTTTATTTCATTGCTTTATGTTTTAATCATGATGCTTTTCTTCTATTACGCTCCTTCTACATTGCTTTCCAGTGACGGCACAGTAGCCCATGAATTTTCCTTGGGATATCATTTTGACTAAACCCCACGTTGGATAGGTGCTGCTCTTTTATTGGGTTTTGTTTACTCATAGTTTTTGTTTCGTCTTTGACGGGAGTGCTGAAGAAGTGTTTTGTTTGATTTTAAAATTTCTAGGCCGTTTAATTTTTTTTAAAATTAACTGTCCATTGTTATTTTCAGGTTTATTGCATTGTGATCTTTGAATGCGTCCTTTGTCAGTTTTGCTTTTTGGAATTTATTAGTAATTCCTCTGTGATGTGGTGTAGGGCAGATTTGGGAGACTGTTTTGGAAAAGAGTATGTTTGGGCACAAAGCTTTGTGTCAGTTTACCAGTTAACGTCTTTTAGTCAAATCGTATCCTTGTCTGCTTATTTTTGAGAGGAAGTTAGGTTTTCCATCGTGATTGTGCTCTTGTCGATTTCTTCTAATATTTGTATATATGTTTTTGCTTTGTATTTCGTGTACATAAAGGTCCATCATTCTATCTTCCTTTCATCTTCTTTATCAATGCAAAATATATCTCACTTTATCCCTGTCAGTGTTATTTTACTTTTTTTTTTTTTGTCTAATGTTACTTTGCTATACCTCCTTTTGTTAGCATTTACCTAGTATTATTTCATAGTTTTATTTTTAACCTCCATTTGTCATTATTTTTTACCTATATGACCTTTAAACAGCACTTAGTTGGATTTAAAAATAAACTTCACTAAGATTTCTTTTAATAGGTGTACTCCGTAGTTTTTCTCAGTAAACTACTGAGTATGTTTGAACTTCCTCTGCCATTTATTTTCTATTCACCATGTATTACAATTTCTTTGCTTTCCTTTTCTGTTTTTTATTGGACCGATTGGAGGTGTCTTACACCGTTTCTTTTTTCCTCTAATAGTTTGGAATCTCTATGCAAATTGTATTTTAAATGTGTCAAGATTGAGGTGCCTTCATTACACTTACAACATTTTATCAAAAACATCGTTGGCCACTAAGGATCTGGAGCATCAGTGAGAAATTGGTTTGGAGATAATGGTTTTAAAACTATCATCCTTTTAGTTGAATCCATGGTAGTATTTGCTATTACTGTCATGGAGAACAAATGCCACCACCTAGCCCAAAGGACTAAATATAGGATCAGGTGGAAAGTGACATCAAAGAGGGGAAGAGAAGTCAGTAGAAGATATGGAGAAGAAATGGCTTAAAAGACAGGAGGTAAACTTTGAGAAAGTAGTATCTCCAAGACCACAAAAAGAATTTCACAAACCTAATGGACAGCAGTGCCACTTGCTACAAAGAGATTAAGTATCATGGAGGCTTCAGTGGCCTTAGAAGAGGTGGTTTCCAGGTATTGACAGGTGGTCTTAGTAGAAGCTAAGTAATCATGAATTGAGGAATAGGTGTTGAAAATAGAGGCAGAGAAGTAAGGACTTTTCTTTTCTGGGATTGGTTAGGGAAAGGTAAAAGGGAAGTAGATCATAGCTTTAAGAAGACATGGGACAGAGGAAAGGCTTCCTTTGGTATGGACTGTGTATATACCACTGTATGGAAATAGATGAACAGAGGGGCAGGGAATAACTCTGAAGGCAGATTTCTTCCTTGGGGCTTTCTAAGTGGCAGGACCACCAAAGCTGGGAATTCTCATTGGATGGACTCTTGAAATCTCTGTGAGTGATCAGATTGTCATAATGCTTATACTTCTTGCAGGAGTGTAAATATGCCCCGTCTCTAGAGGATTCCACTATTTTACAAATCTTTCTAGCATGAGCACTGAGTAAATTTGATAGTCTTCTTGGGAGAGAATGAGTTCAGAGTCTTGGGTCATCCCTCAAAACCACTGACCTGTTTGCCTACTAGTGATTCAATATTAGAACGTTTTCTCTACACAAGTGGGTGGCCAATTCTTGATGATTTGAAGCTGCGGGGGCAGGGAGATCTTAGCCATGATACTTGATCTGGGGTTGTTAATGAACTATAAGTAACCCTCAATTTCCAAACTCAGGAGCCAGATGGATTCAGATTTTTTTTTTTTTTAGATTAGGCTGTGGATATGACTTATGATCTAAACTTCCATTCTCTACTCAGAAACCAAATTGGTTCAAGTAGGTACCTTGTGTGTTAGCATCAGAATCGGTTATCCAAACTTACTGTCCAAACTTGCATCTGAATAATTTGGATGGTAAAAGATAGCTGTATTCTATTAACTAACTTTCTTTCCCCTCTCCTTTTTTTGGGAGAACCTAGGAGTTGTAGAAAAAGATGAGAACAAGTATGGATTTTAATGAACCATTTCCGCCCACTGATTAGAAGAATACTTTTTACCCCCTAGATCCCTTTCATTGGGCTTGGCTTCCTCAAGCAAAAATTCCTTTTTCTGAAGAAACAAGAAACGCAATTCTACCTTTCATTTCTGACATGAATTTTGTACAAGATTTATGTGAAGATCTTTATGAACTTTTTAAGGTAAATAAACTTTTTGTTTCAATTATTACAGAAAATGAAATTTTAAAGAAGAGAGTTTTTTAGAAATGCGACTTTACAATTTACTATTTCTGGTCTTGCTCCTTATAGTAGGATCTGGTAAACAGAAAGGACTTAGATGTTTTACTTACAGGAGCATACATTTATGAAGTTACACTTTCAGTATTCTTTCAAATGAGTATATGTAAAATTTGGGAAGTTGTTTTCTTTAAAAGTTGAATTTTTGTACAGTTACCATATAAATTATATTTGGTGACATGCTATCATTTAGTTCTCTTAAAAAGTCTAAACCCATTGGCTTGAAAGTCACCTTAAATCCTTTCTGATACAAACTGGAATATAAATGAGTAAAACTATTCCAGTAATTCTGAGACTACTGGAAATACATCAGATATGAATACATTTTTCATGTTATTTTATCATCATGATAAAATAGAGTCACATTAGGAAAGTGGTCTAATAATCTGTGTGCTAAGTTGACAAGTTCGTTTGTTTTCAAATATTTGTTTCAGAAATCTTGATATTTGGAATGATCTTTTTTCTCTCCTTTCTGTGATAGACTGATAAAGGTTTTGACAAGGCCACCTTTGAAAGTCAGATGTCTGTGATGAGGGGTCAGGTAGGCCTCCTTTTTATGATCTTGTTCATTGACGAAACAATATAAATATTTTTTCCACTGTGACAATAGGAATCCTAAAACATAAACAACAATCTGTTCCTGGTAAAGTTTTATTTCCCAGTATACCAAGTACTCCAGATCTTCCAGAATCTAAGTCATTTACTATTATGAAGTCTATTCATTAATATCTGTGGAGAAGGGTATCATGCTTGGAGAAGTCAAGGGTCAGCAAAAAAGGGGAAGACCCTCAACGAAATGGATAGACACACTGCCTGCAATGATAGGCTCAAGCATTGCAACGATTGAGAATGGCCCAGGACTGGGCAGTGTTTCCTTCTGTTGTACATAAGGTAGCTATGAATTGGAACCGACCCAGTGGTACCTAACAGCAACATTTAGTAGTATGGTTTTATGTTAAAACTTTTATACTTATCACTATTAAATAGTGTTTACAAACCAGTATATATAGCATGCGTATTTTAGATATTATTAAATACCTGAAGATACTCTTATTTCTAAAGTGCTTAGCATAGAGAATTCTTTCCTGATACGCAGGGGAAAAAATGAATTATTAAATTTTTAGTTTATCTGAACAGAGAGTAGAATAGGTTATAAGCTATGCATTGATTAATTGCATTTGTTTAAGTAGAAATTCTAAAATATTTTTAAACATAAAATGTAAGGTATTTTATTTTTCCCAGGTTTTCTTCCTATTTAAGCTCTTAAATAAAGTTTTGTTTAAAATGTCTACTTCCCCAAATTCTCTGACCTATTCACCCTGCTTCATGTTTTTTTCATAGCACATTCACCTAATACATTGTCTGACTTATTTATAATGTTTAAGGACTCCCTCCCCTTGGTAAAATTTAAGCTTCATAAAGGCAGAGATTTTGTTTGTTTGTTTATTGTTGTGTCCCCAGAACTTAGAGCCCAGCACTTAGTAGTAGGCATGCAATAAATTTATTTGTTGAATAAATGGATAAGGCAAGCACTTCTTTAAAGCCAGACTATTCTGACCAGTATTTATTTAGTTTCTATGTCCAATGGAATATGTAGAACCATTTACTTTATTCAGCTCCTGATTCCATTGCTCCTGGATGTAGGTACATTCTAGAATATTAAGTTACCAATTGGCACAAGTTATTTAATTCTAATTTTTGGCATGCATATGTATGTGTATGTGTGTTTGTGCATGTAAATATGCACACCAAACCCAAAACCCACTGCTGTCGAATCAATTCCAACTGACAGCACCCCATAGAGTTTCAGAGGCATTAAATCCTTACAGAAGCAGATTGTCACATTTTTCTCCCATGGAGTGGCAGGTGGGTTTGAACCTCTATCCTTTTGGTTAGCAGCCAAGCAAGTGCGTAATCACTGCGGTACCAAACCAAAAACTAAACTCACTGCCATTGAGTTGATTTGACTCATAGTGACCCTGCCTTGGGTTTCCAAGGTGGTATCTCTATGGAAGTAGATTGCCCAATCTTCCTTCCGAGGAGTGGCTGGTGGGTTTGAACCACCAGCCCTCTGGTTAGCAGTCACATGCCTTGGGCACAGCTACACCAAAGCTCCTTAAATACACACACACACACACACACACACGTTGTCATTATTCCTCATCACAATCTCTGTTGTGCATAAATAAATAAAATAATAGTTATGAGTAAATGTTTAAAATAATGTCAATGACTGGGAATTGTCTTTGTGAAGTTGGTGAAAATGCTTCCTCTTTCCGCAGATCTTAAACCTTACTCAGGCGCTGAAAGATGGGAAGAGTCCTGTTCAGCTAGTGCAGATGCCATGTGTGATTGTGGAACGAAGTCAAGGTGGAGGGCAGGGTCGGATTGTCCACCTCAGCAATTCGTTTACTCAGACTGTTCATTGCAGGAAGCCCTTTTTTTCCTCCTGGTAGCAGATGTAAGAGTGAGAAACACAAACTGTTGTCTGCGAGTTGGCACAATTTTGTCAAACCCATATGGTAATAGAAACCTGCTGTTGACAGAGCCCCAGTTGCCAAAACCTCAAAGAATTGAAGTCTTTAAAAGGTTATATTTTGAATGTAATCAGAAGTTTACAGTCTTTTTGTGTCCAAATATTAAATTTCTATTTCAGGGAAGAAGTGATGTATCTCCTATACTGCATTTTTGTAGAAAAAAATTGTATTTTATGTTGTTGATGTTATTTTAAAAGGTAATTTTGTAGTTTACACATGCTGGAATGACTGTAATTACTTTAGAATTCCAAGTAGAAAAATAAGGTATTTGTCGACTTTGAATAGTCTAACTTTTTATATACTTTTTAAATATTAAGGGAATATTCATGTTAAAACTTCCTACATTATAAAAGGCCTTTGATAATAAAAGGTGTCTAAGTCTGAAACTGTTCTTCTGAATTTTGATAGGGTAGTTAATAGAAAAACAGGTAAGAAGAAAGTGATGTTGCCTTATTACAAAGAGCTGCTATTTTAGAACTTGAATAAGTAGAAGTAGCCCTGGAAGCATTGGTATTAGGGACCAGAAAATTGTATCTTAGTTAAGTAATGTGAGACCATTTCCTTTTTTGTACTTTAGAATATTTTTGGTGAATTATTTTGTTGTAGTAGGAAAAAAAAAAAATCTAAAGACATCCCTCCTCCTCCCTTTTTTTTTTTTTTAATGGAAACATTCAGTTGGAAGTTTAGGGAATACATGAAATTAAGGTCAATCCTCAGTATTTTGAAATTCCAGAATAGTTGACATTAAAAATTCACATTTTGTTGCTTGTGTGGGCTCAAATACTTGATCATTTATTCCTTCAGAGTACTAATCCTGATCAATTTAGTATTTCAGTTAATGTAATACTTTACTGAGAAGTAAACCACGGCCCAAAGTGTTTATCAGATTGCATTTTGGAGTCCTAGTATGTGTTGTTGTTGTTATGTGCTGTCAAGTCAGACCCGACTAGTAGCAACCCCTCCTTGGATTTCTGAGGCAGTATCACTATGGAAGTAGATTGCCTAACCTTCCTTCCGAGGAGTCGCTGGTGGGTTTGAACCACCAGCCTTCTGGTTAGCAGTCAAGTGCCTTAGGCACTACACCACCAGAACTCCCTCCTAGTATATAAGCTCTTAAAAATAATAGTAGTTCTTCAGAGTGCCTGAAATTATAGCTTTATTATAACTACAGTTAAGTTTAGATTATCAGCCCTAATTAAAGGGCAACACAACAGAGATAACCTTAAATTAAAATCATTTATATTTTTAAAATTTATTTTTGTACTTTATTTTGAATATCAGTATGTCTGACTGGGAATTTGTAGTACTTTTAACTCAACTGAAACAAAACAAAAAAAAAAACTCACTACCATCGAGTCAATTTTGACTCATAGTGACCCCCATTGGGTTTCCAAGGTGGCCAATCTTCATGGAAATAATTGCTCCATCTTTATTTCTGGTGGGTTTGAACTGCCAACCTTTTGGTTAGCAGTCAGATGCCTACCACCCAAGCTCTGAAATAAGCCCCAGAAAGAATGTGTGATTCAGGAGAAGCAGAAGCTTTGTTCACTTCTTCAGACCAGAAGCAAATAATATCACCACTCAGACTAAATTTGGACACTTGTGGTCTTGGCCTTTTTGTTTCTTAAGCTTACTGTCTGGAATTCTTTTGTTTTCCTTAGATTAACTCTTACTGTGTAATAAGTATTTCCTGAAGGTTAAATTAGGATAGCACACAGATCTTCAGCTCTCCCTGCCTTCTCGTCTTTCTCTTGGCCTTCATGTATATGATGCTGACGTGACAGTACTGCTCCCCTCATGGAAGTTAATTGGACACCTTTGTTCTCCTACCTCTCTCCACCCCCTCTTGTCCTAATTTCCAGATAATGGAAAATTGACTGGAAATTCAAAACTTAAACTACTATATTGAGATAAATACTGGTAATTAAAATAAGACTTCTGATGATGTTGAGTTGCTGTGATGTGGGTATTTTCATAAACAATTTTTTCAATATTTTGAGGCTTGCTATATTACATCAGTTTTTAGAATAGAAAATTTAGTAAATTGCTACTATTTTAGATGCTAAAATTAAAATGGAAATATCTGTAGATGTTCTGACCATGCCGTAAGTGAAGTCCAGGTATTAAGATGGTTACAAATCAGAGTAATTTGGTTGTATTTTGTAAACTTCACAAACTTACTTAAATATTACATTAATTTTCTCAATGAGTATATTTATAGTATCAAACATAGTAAGCTGAAGGTAATAAAAATTGTCTTAAGGCTACATTTCTCCTGAGGTATGTATATTGGATATTTAAATGTTTGTGAACAGATTTAAACTTATAAATGATGCCAAACTACTATTTTCTTACTTCATAATGCTACTGGTGTAGTTTAATCCTTTATAATTCTAAAAGGCACATTTAACTGGAACCTTTATAATTAGAGATAGATTGTTTTTTTTAATTACATGCTGCCTTATCCCCCCAAAATTTATGAGCGGTTTGTGGAGACATAGTTTGCAGACTTGAAAAAAATTTGATTTATACATTTTTTAAAAATTTAAAGTACTGTATTAATGGAATTAAAACTTTTTTTTAACAGCTATAATGGCATGTTCTTTGACTAGATTATATCTTAAAACCTTTTATAGATACATGAAGAGACCAAACAAACAAACCAAAAAACCTCACTGCCATCGAGTTGATTCTGACTCATAGTGACCCCCATTGGGTTTCCAAGGTTGTAAATCTTTGTAGAAGCAGACTGGCTCATCTTTCTTCTGTGATGTGGCTGATGGGTTGGAACCACTAACCTTTTGGTTAGCAGCCAGATGTCTTAACTGCTACACCACCAGAGTGAAGCGTTATGTTTATAGTCTACTGTCTTTCATGAAGTTGCCTGGGCAATTGTGCAGAGTTATGACAAAGATTGTTAGAGCTCTTCTGTATTTCCAAGCTTCTCTTCCCGTTCGTTTGGGCCCATGCGACTTGAGTTCTTCTGGTCTATGAGAAGTTAAATGATATATGTGGCTTCCAGACCTGGCAGTAACATTCACTGCCGTGATTGCCCACACTTTTGACTTCCTACTTAGTTATAAACGTTTGCAGAATGGATGCAGTCAGGGCACATGAGTCACTGCGTGGAGAAGAACTACAAGGAGAGCCTTCTGACCCCATTGGACTGTGACATGAGCAAGAAATAAACACCTGTGTTTAGCCACAAAAATTTTGAATTACTGTAGCATAGTCTTTTCCTATCCTGGGTATTATAATGTAAGTAAAAAAAATACAACTTGTACAATAAAAGATCAAAAACGAGTTGTTGGTGGCATGACAGCAGCAGCAACAGTGTAGTTTTTTAATCTCCCCAAATCCTCATAGAACAACCAAGAAAGGAAAGGAAAAAAAATGCTGTAATGCTGTCTTTACTTCGGCAGCAACAAAAGTCACATGGCAGCTTTGGAAGAACAAGTAGAGGGGAGATGAAAGGGCTATCTGATGGTCCTAACGCCAATGATCCAGAATTTGGCAACATGTTCATAGCCCCAAAGAGAAGAATGCCCAGTAGTGGTGGGAGTAGCAACTGGTAGATCCACAGCCACAGTCAGAACCAGCAGAGGGGTGCCCGTGTCCGTGGGCAGCTAGTAAAAGGAGCCTGCAGAGAAGTAGGAGAGTTGTAGTGCAGTCTGACTCTCAGGGGTCTCAGAAATAGCTAGTGAAAGGACATAGTCCAGCACCAAGAAAAACTATTGGGACTGTGCAAAAAGGACATGGAGGTGGCATCTTGTCACCTCTAACTTCACAAGGAGATGGAAATCACCATCAGCAGCTCAAGGTGTGTTCCTTTGAGGCCAGACATGCTGCTGTTTTCCAGCCTTTTACCAGTTCTGACACGAACCATCTCCCACAGCACTCACTACTTCTCTGCTGCATTCGATACTTCATTTCAGTGGCCACACAGAGCTCCTAGGCAATACTCATGATTATGGGGTTTATTGGGAGCTCTAGTGGTGTAGTGCCGAAGGCACTTGACTGCTAACCAGAAGGCTGGTGGTTCAGACCCACCAGCCACTCCTCAGGACAGTCGGGCAATCTACTTCTGTAGAGATAACGCCTTAGAAACCCAAGAAAGGGGGTCACTATGAGTTGGGTCTGACTTGACAGCACATAACAACAACAACAACATGGGGTTTATTAGGGAGGTAACAAGCTACAATTCAGGTTCAGGAATGCACTCATACAATTCTTAGATCAGGACAGTCTCCCCTCTGCTGTGCCTTCAGACAGAGGCCCTCTGCTTGGCCTCTATCCTGCTCGGGCAAGTGTTACAAAACCCTTTTAGTTCTGCTGATTGTTGTTGTTGTTATGTGCCGTCGAGTCGGTCTCGACTCATAGCGACCCCTCCTTGGGTTTCCAAGGCAGTATCACTACGGAAGTAGGATTGCGCAACCTTCCTTCCGAGGAGTGGCTGGTGGGTTTGAACTGCCAGCCTTCTGGTTAGCAGTCAAGTGCTTTTAGGCACTATGCTACCAGAGCTCCTAGTTCTGCTGATATGTACACCTAAGGGCACCCCATTCCGCCAGCAAACCTCATGCCCAAGGACACTCAGCTTTCTTGCTCCATAGGCCAGGTGAGACTGCTGCTCTATCTTGTACCTTTTGGTTACACTGTTGCCATCTCTCTGCTGGAACGTCTCAGCCAAGGAGGTCCAGCGCAGGGATCTGACTCCAGGGACACGCTTCACTTCTCCAGTTCTTCTCTCGATGACAGTGAGATCCCCTCTTTGCCTCTAGGGGGGCTCAGGGTTTTTTTGTTTTTTATCGTGATTTGGGTGAAAGTTTACAGAGCAAATAACAGCAGCTCACATATGCTTTGTCTCATGACATTGACTACAGTTTACCACAATGCAACAGCTCTCCTCCCACTTCCTCCCCATAGTTATCTCTTCCCTGTGTCCTTCCCTCTCATGCACTCCCGCACCCCCCAGCTGTCTCCCTGTGCATACACAGCCCTTCTATTCTCCCATGATTGATCTTTCCAAGGAGTGTATCTACCTATTGTAAATGTTCAGTTCATGTAGGAGGGCTGATTTTAAGCCTGGCAGAGTGACAAAACTAATCAATCCCAACATCAGAGTTCTGCATACCTTATTTGCATGGTCCCACCCAGTAATCAGGTGGGAGTTACAAAGACTATGGCTAAACAAGTCACACCAAGTAAGTTACTGCACCACAGCCTGGAAAGTAAATTGACAGGGGAGGATTGTAGGGGTAAAGGA